TACCCTGTGACCCTCCTGACACGACAGAGCCCAAGCAGTGTTGTAGGCGCCAACATTTTCCCCTATAGTATCATGGGCGCCATTAACTCCCATACGGTTTGGTTCCCCCCCACATGCCTCTGGGGATCAACAGTGTTGTGGGCGTCGGCATTAACTGTACCAGGCGAACATGGTAAAACCCCTTGCATGTCTCTAGGTATCAACAGTGTGGCAGGCGCCGATGTCTACCATACACGAAGAAGACAACACAACCTCCCACGTGCATTTGACATTCAACAGTATTGTGGGCACCTACCATCATCCTATACCCACTAGCGTGGGCAACAAGGCTCAGTAGCATATGTACTCTCTCCCTCTCACTTGTAAGGCCATCCCCTTCATCTATAAAAGGGGATGCGCTCTCTCCCAAAAAAGAGATTCATTAGATCGATCAAGTTCGCTAGTACACAATAGCAGAACCACCAGGTTCAAACCACGAGCACACGCTCGAACACTTAGCACATAGCAAAGCTCCCATCGCCCTCGGTTCCTCTAACTCGAGTCCGACCGGACCTCTTGTACCCCCCATCTTTCTCCTTCTTGTTTGTAACCCCACTGCAAACTTCGAGCACCTGGGCTCAGGAATAAAGTCACCGACCGACTCAAACTGGACGTAGGGCACGTTGCCTGAACCAGTATAAACCCTATGTCATTGAGTGCTAGGCCACCTCCGATCACAACGTACGACAAAACTACAAATATTTACATGTTGGTCACTTTGTGCACCGACACCCACCTTCTCTGGAAATCCCGACGAGACCTCATCATCGCTCAAGCCACGGAGCAGCAATAATACCACTGCTAATAACTCTTGCTACCACACGGCATGTTGGCCATGGTATCTTCGGCATGGGTGAGTCAACCGCTCACCAGCGTTGCCGACCACACACTATGGCTAGAGGTAAAAGAAGGTAGGTAGAACAGAGCACGTACACACAAAGCACAAGCACCAGCGTTGGCCGGAGCTCTGTAGAGGAGATGGCAAAACTAAACTCGCTCACTTTACTGAGTTGTAGTGGAAAGCTATATATACAACTCTACCCATCTAATCATAGTACACAAACATGCTAGGCTGCCATGCTGCTACAATGACTAGATGTGACAACAGGGCTGACTTTGGCGCTTGCCCCTGCTATGGCTATAGTGCGGAAAGGGAGCATTTCGGCGTCTGCCCCTACTGCGGCTATAGTTTAGCAGCAGGGAGCCCTTTCGGTGCCTGCCCTTGCCGTGCGTTCACACGGTGGAAGAGCAGCATATTACTTTACAATTGTTTCCCTAATCCTGCTGCTAACCCTAGAACCTCCATCATGTCAATCATCTTCTTCTGCTCTGTGAACCGAAGAGGGCCGAGCGGCTTGGTGAGGACGTCCGTGAGTTGCCAACTAGTTTCGACGAACTCAATGACGATCTGCCCTCCATTGACACAGTCCCTGGGGAAGTGGAACTTGATGTCAATGTGCTTGCTCCAGTCGTGGAGAACCAGATTCTTCGTGAGGGCGATGGCAGGCTGGTTGTCCACCATCAGTGCTGGTGGGTGAGCTTCCACACCGGTCAGCTCGCCTAGTAGCTAGCACAGCCACATAGCTTGGCACACCACTGTGGCCGCCGCCACGTACTCTGCCTCGCACATGGATAGCGCCACCACCTTTTGTTTCAGCGCCAACCATGAGATTGGAGCTGACCCAAGGAAGACGAGCACGCCCGAGGTGCTCCGCCGTCCGTCGATGTCCCCCACCATGTCTACATCGCTGAACATAGTGAGCTGTAGCCTACTTCCACCGGTCTTGGGGAAGATGATCCCTTGATCCACCGTCCCCTTAACATAGCGCAGCAGTCGCTTCATCGCGACCCAGTGATCCTCTCGGGGATCCTCCATGACGCGGCTGACGTAGCCCACGGCGAACGCAATGTCCGACCTCATGTGGACTAGGTAGCGTAGACTGCCGACGATGCTCCGGTAGAGTGTTGCTTCTACCTTCGCCGTGGTACTGGCCTTTGTTAGCTTCAGCGGACGAGGCGCACCTTGTGCTTGACAATGGCGCCGCGCTCATCGCGCTTGACCTTGTACACCAACTTTAGGCCAATCAGACGGCATCCTAAAGGTGGATCGATGAGCTCCCAAGTCTCGTTTTCCTCGATCGCCTTCATCTCCTTCAGCATTGCCCGTCGCCAATTTGCATCGCGCTCGGCCAGTGCAAACATGGGTGGTTCCTCTGCACTGACGAGAAGCAGCTCTGGGTCATTGAGCAGTCGTCCCGCAAGGCCTGAGGACCCTGTGCCACCGACGATATCGTCCAGCCTACGGAACCGCACCTCCTCACCATCGTGGAAGGCATCCATGAACTCAGTGATGTCGCTTGGAGGTGAGGAAAACTCGATCGGCGTCGATGGAGTTCCCTGTTCCACCTGAGTGGTCGGCACAGCACCTGGAGTGCTCGGCACTACTCCTGGACTGCTCATCACCGCTCCTAGAGTGGTTGGCACCCCTCCTGGAGTGCTCGGCACTAGTCTTGGAGTGGTCGGCACCACTACAAGGCCTCTTGGCTCCGCTACGGGAGCGTTTGACACCCATCCTGTAGTGGTCAGCACCACTACAGGACTGCTCGGCTCCACTCCTAGAGTGCTCGACACCCCTCTCAAAGTGCTCGGCACTGCCCTAGGAATGCTTGGCTCTGTTGTTGGAGTGGTCGGCACCTCCTCTCCAGCGTCTCCACCACCATGGATGACCAAGTGCTTGACGACGAAGGTGCTAGTGAAGCCGCTAGCTTCCCCCGTGCTCAGACTGTCCCAGTCCTAGGCTGCCTTCTCGTCGAAACACAACATCGTGCGGGACAACCACCTTGCCTCCGCGTGGGTCGTAGAGCTAGTACACCTTGGTACCTTCCTCGTGGCCCAGGAGCACCATCGGTGTGCTCCTGTCCTCTAGCTTGGTGAGGACCGGCTTTGTCTTCCTAACGTGGCCAATGCAGCCGAATGTCCGGAGGAAGGACACGCTCAGCTTGTGCCCATACCAAGCTTCGAACGGCATCTTGCTATTCAGGGCCTTGGTGGGCGTGCGGTTGAGGATGAACACCACCGTGGTCACCGCCTCACCCCAGAACCTTGCTGTCATGCCCTTGGCCTTCATCATGGATCAAGCCATGCCGACCACCATCTAGTTTCACCACTCCACCACGCCATTCTACTATGGCGAGTACGGCACGGTGTGGTGTTGTACCACACCCTAATCCACGCACTACGCAGTGAACTCCACCGCAGTGAATTCACTGCCGTGATCAGTCCGCAGCACATGCAGCTTCTTGCCGCTCTCCGCGTCCGCGCGCGTCTTAAACTTCTTGATCGCCTCAGCCGCCTCGTCCTTGCTCGTCAGGAGTTGCAGCCACATATAGTGACTGCAATCATCCACGAGCAGGAGGAAGTACCGCCGACCACTGTTTGTGGCTGGCGTGATTGGCCCACAGAGATCACCGTGGATGAGCTCGAGAGCGTTCGCCACGCGATACTTGGCCACCTTTGGGAACGACAGCCTCCTCTACTTCCTAGCTAGGCAGCTATCACACAGCTCACCTGCGTGCGACATCGCCATCAGGAGAGTGGCCACATTATCCTCATCAGTCTACGCTAAATGAGCCTCAGCCTTCTTCTCATGCTCGTGATTTGGGCACTCCTTTGCCCAATGGCCCGTCTTTCTATAGTGCCGGCAGGCATTGGAGTCGACCTTCTTCTTCTTCTCTGAAGAAGCCTTGCCGCGGCGCTTGCCGTCACCACCACGGCTGGAGGAGGCTTCCCCGGACTTCTTCCGGGCAGCCCACTCCTCCTTTGTCAGTAGCAACTTGCTACTATCCATCGTTGCTATGGCCTGCTCCATGTGCTCGTCCACCGCCCGTAGATGGCCTATCACATCCTCAATGGTGAGGGTGGACAAGTCCAGCATCGTCTCTGTGGAGAGAGCAATCTGGATGTAGTTCACCGGCACAGAGTGGAGGTACTTGGAGATCGCCTCTTCTTCGTCGATGGTGACGCCGTGGCTCATCAGCTTGCTGATAAGCGACTACAGGTGGTGGGAAAAGTCCTCCACCGATTCACCATCCTTGAACTTGAGGTTGGCGTACTCCTGCTTCAGCAGCTGGACCGTCGCCTTCTTTGCGCGGTCGGAGCCGACGCGCATCGCTGCAATGGCCTCCCACGCCTCCTTAGCAGAGTTCTTCGCCTCCAATGGCTCCTTGTACTCCGTTGGCACAGTAGCGAGGATAGCCTCCAATGCATCATCTTCTTCATTGTCAGTGCCCTTGTCAATAGCATTCCAGAGCCGTCGGGCTCTGAGCTTGACCTTCATGGTCACCGCCCACTCATCATAGTTGGTGCGAGTCAGCGTCGGCCAACTGGTGCTGCTGACCTCCCACAGCGTGCGCACGATGACCTCCTGTCATGGCTGGACAACCACAGCAGCGCCGCTGCTGTTGCCCATCTCCAAACCATCTGTCATCGCTAGCGGTTAGTCTAGCGACGGCGCTTGTACGGCGCTCTGATACGACTTGTGGGCCCCTGCATCTCTGGCATGGGTGAGCCAACCGCTCACCAGCGTTGCCGACCACACACTATGGCTAGAGATAGAAGAAGGGAGGGAGAACAGAGCGCGCACATACAGCATAAGCACCAGCATTGACCGGGGCTCTGCAGAGGAGATGTCAAAACTGAACTCGCTCACTTTACTGAGTTGCAGTGGGAAGCTATAAATACAACTCTACCCATCTAATCCTAGTACACAGACATGCTAGACTGCCATGCTGACAGCAGGGCTGACTTTGGTGCGTGCCACTGCTGTGGCTATAGTGCGACAGGGGAGCCTTTCGGCGTCTGCTCCTGTCGCGGCTACAGTGCAGCAGCAGAGAGCCCTTTCGCCGCCTGCTCCTGTTGCGCGTTCACACGGTGGGAGAGCAGCAGATTACTTTACACGGCAGAGGTCTCTTACCAGCAGATACAGCTCTCCCCAGTCGTCACCTACAGCAGCGACCGCCACTATGACCACCAGTACTATGGCAACCTTGACACGATCCTAAACCTGGACGAATTCAAGTGCCAAGAAGCTCACAGCGAACGAGCACAGCACAAGAACGGCCGTGGCGGCGTGTCCAAGCCCTACGTCCGCCACCTCAGCCCAAAGAAGAATCCCAAGCCAGGCTCCGGTGGACAGAGGGCGATCAAGGCGGCCATGTCAACTGTGGCAGGGATGCACATGGTCAGGCTTGCCCAGTGGCGGCAGTGCTGCTACCAGATGGAAATGGCAGTAGCTGCGCCAACCAGTGGAAGCAACAACTCAAACCAGCAGCAGCACGTTTTGTCGGAGCGGAAGCGCCGCGAGAAGCTCAACGATAGCTTCAAGGCTCTTAGGACAGTGCTCCCCCTGCATCCAAGGTACTTATTGGCCACTAGATTATTCATCCTCTTTCTTCTGAATCAACTTATCTGTCAGACCATTTCTAAAAGAAATATTTCTTTATCCTGGTAGAAAGATAAAGCATCCATACTGATCAGAGCAAGGCACTACGTGACCACTCTTGAGTCTAGAGTGTCTGAGTTAGAGGAGAAGAACATGATGCTAGTAGAGTTGCTGCACCACCGCAACAACGGAGGCGATCAAGGCGATGTTTCTGGCAAAAAGATTGAGGTCGATATTGATATCAATAGAGAAGCATGCGAGGTAAAGGAAACATCACAGGAATTTTGCCTGAAGATAATGGTAGGGTCAGAGTGCAATGCCATGGATGATGTAGTTAGTATACTTGAGCGCCTCAAGTAGATAGGGGATGTGAGATTGGTATCCATGGACACGGGCAGCAGAGCCACCACCTTAACATTACAAATGAAGGTATAAATATGCTTACCATGTTTGATTTATGAATAAAATGGAGGTATACATAAATATCCTTACCCTGCATGAATTTTGAGTTTAAGTTCATATTTTTTTCACACCAATGTGATGAGAGTATTTAATTTGGGTTTAGATATGAAGAGATTATATTTGGACACTAACTGCACAACAAATTTTTGAGGTTTGCAACTCGCACAAATGTCTCATACGACACACATCACATGATTTGGATTCTCAATCAAGAAGTCAGTTTTGTTATTAGGAAAATGTGAAAAGGTAGAGGAGTATTTTCCATTCTGAATTTCTGATAGAATGCATAGTCTTGGTTGTTGAATTGAAGATAAATAATGGTGTGGACTTCTCTTGGTTGTTTCCCAAAAAGATTCTAAGAAAAGTGAATTCATGATATCATACTTGTTGAACTTGAATGTCATATAGTTCCCCTCGTCAAGACTGTCTTGTACAAAACCGGCTCTGTTAGCCTAATTTGTAGGTTTTGGCGCGGCCTCCTTGGATATGTGTTGTTCTTTTCATTCAAAATATGGTTTGTTTGCTTATCAGTTTTCTCTGTCGATCAGTTCATCAATGAATTAATCATTATTTAACGATCCCTTTTTTTATGAACGTCAGTGAATCTGATCTCTTCCAATATTATTGCTGCAGTCTAGCAGATGGTATGACAATATCCTGAAGGAATATGTCATAAAGTGTCAAGGGCACCATGAAGTCAATGATAGAGACAAGCTAAGCTTTTCTTTGATCGTTCGATTCAAATGGGTGTGAGATTGAATTTTGTGGTTTTTGACAAGATCACTTAAGCAAAGTGACCAGGCATTAATGAAAATCAACCAAAATGTCAAACGTATCGTTATATTCAAGGAGATTGATTTTTTATATCATTGAGTCTTGAGCTGAATGTGGAAGTCAATGGAGTAACCAAGAAAAAGCTCTTAGATCTTCAATTTTGAATGGTATCCTAATACTATAGGACTCACTACTGCTGAAATACACATCATACGTGCCTTCTCATGAATCTAATCCATGCTGGTTATCGAATCGCAAGACCGCATACCTACTCAAAAGTATCCGTGTCAGTTAGGTAGCTGATGTAGATATGATGCAAGTATCTAGCTTGTTGAAGGACCGAGAACAACGACAAGAGAGAGGTGAATGGGAGATGAATCTATTTTTCTTTTGATTTCGGCAGCTGTTCCAGATCAATTCTGAAAACACTCGCAGAAAACCGGATTCTCCAAAATGAGTTCACGCAGGCCAACAGGTGACCAGATGCAAGAAACCTTAGAGAACACAACGGGGAAGAAGGGAAAGCTAATCGAGCACGAACCAGAAAAAAACCCGAAAACTCAGATCACACCAGATATGTCCAGTGTGCATACCGGTCTTACCGGACTTTTCTGGTATGAACGAGATAGCACTAAGTCACTTTGGGAGAAAAAGTGAAAACCCTATCAAACGATGTCCAAAAATTATAAAATTTGAGACACAAGCTCACAAACTATCGCAATTTCTACTCCTCCTAACTTGGCTGGAGCATTGCTGCTCGCAAGTGAGCAATAACGTTACTGGAGTCTTGCAAAGGCTCAGGGAAGCTCTTCTCTTGAGCCTGTAGATGTAGGGTTCTTTTTGTGCAGGTGAGGTTATTTTTTGTCTTAGTAAAAGGCGTGTGTGTTTTTCTAAGAGATTAGGAGTGTGGGTGTGTGTTGTAAGGGCTTTTGCCCCTTTTTCTTCTTAATACAAAGATACACAACTCTCCTGCATGTTCGAGAAAAAAGGACACAAGCTCACAGTACCTTAAGGAAGCAACCCACCAAATTTTAGCTCCAAACTCAAAGGTTTGAATACCAGAATTGTCTAGTATTCACACCGGACATGTCCGGTACGTATGTGCAAGCTACAACTAAATATTTCAAGAAAAAAACACTGATTTAAATCAACTCCGATCTATCTAAAACTTTGCAGGGGAATTACTGGGGGTGTTGAGAGGATATTCTCAGAGCATCAACACCAAGAACTCAAAGGAACTCAATCAATCTCGGAAACCAAATCCAAAAAGGGGATTTAAAAAAAAATCCTTCCCAAGGGTGGATTCTTACGCTCGAGATGAATCTTTCCAAATCCTTTGGTAGATTAATTCATCATGGGTCTTTGCACGAATCCAACAACTCAAACCATCCACAAAAGTGCTGGAACGCAAAACTCAGAAACAGAGAAGGGAGGGGAACCGGAGAAGGAAAACTCAAAACCAACACTGATGATTGCTTTTTCTCCCGTACAAAACGCAACGACTCCATGCCCAGCCAAGCTGTCCACGTCGCCTCCATTATTCTCCTCCGTTGGATCTTGCATCCTGTGGCCTAGTTTGCTAGGAGCCGATTCTCATCTGGAGCGGCTTCTCATCGTTCTCTCTGGCTTCTTCGGCTTCTCCTTGCTTTTTTTTGTCTTCTCCAGCTTCTCACCCGAATCTAGCGAAACGAATATATATCCAGCTTCTACTTTCCTTCCCGAAGCTTCTACTTCTCCTTCCCCTCCTCTCTCACTCTCCTATCCACTTGCTCCCTCTCTCTCGACGTGACCAGGGCGATGACCACCTGCGCGAGAGGGGCGGCGTGATTGCGGACGCCCTCCTCCTCCCTGTTAGTAAATAATGTAAATAAAGATCGAACACGAGACACAAATTTTTACGTGGAAAACGTTTGTGGAAAAACCACGGGCGCCAACCTATGATCTTCGCTATATGATGAAAGTTTATAGAACTCAGGGAATACAATGAGTCATCAGCTCTTCCCATGCTGCTTACAACATGTATTTATAGGATGGACTGACTGCAGTCAAATACGGAAATAAATCGGCTAATAAACCTAACCCGAACCGCGGGTCCTCTAGGCGTCCCCGTAAGACTCATGTTAGAATTCGGATCATACTCCAACAAACTTTAGCTTGAGATGAATTCCATCTTGTAGCGAATGAAGTATCATCAATCAACTCACTTCAATAATAAATAATCACCGACGCCAAAAGTCACTAGGACTTAAACTGTAATACCAACTAACCTTGAGCGCAGCTCAAACTTAGCTCCAAGAATAGGCTTTGTCAACGTATTATCGGAATTATCATGAGTATTTATCTTGCACACCTTAATATCACCTTCAGCAATGACACCTCAAATAAAATGACATCTCACATCAATGTGCTTGGTCCTTTCATGAAACATTTGATCTTTAGTCAGACAAATAGCACTCTGGCTATCACAATGTATAGTAGTGCAAGAAGTAACCCCACTAAGTTTAGAGTATAAATCTCTCAACCAAATAGCTTCTCTACAAGCTTCAGAAATAGCCATATATTCAGCTTCTTCTGTATTAGATAGAGCAACAGTAGCCTGCAAACTTGCTTTCCAGCTAACAGCACAACCACCAATGGTGAAAACGTAATCCATGAGAGGCCTCCTCTTATCTAGATCACCAGCATAATCAGAATCAACATAACGAACAAGTCCATCTCTAGATTTTCCAAATTGCAAACATGCATTAGAAGTACCTCGTAAATATCTAAAAATCCACTGAACAACTCTCCAATGCTCCTTACCAGGATTAACCATGAATCTACTGACAACACTCAATGCATTAGATAAATTAGGACGAGAACAAACCATAGCATACATAAGAGAACCAACTGCATTGGAATATGAAACTCTAGACTTGTACTCAATTTCATGTTCTGACTCCGGACATAAAGCTGAGGATAATCTGAAATGTGCAGCTAACGGAGTACTCACTGGTTTTACATTATGTATATTGAAACGACAAAAAACCTTTTCAATATAACCTCACTGACTGAGGTATAACTTGCCAGATTTTCTATCTCTAACAATTTCCATACCAAGAATTTTCATAGCTGCACCTAAATCCTTCATCTCAAATTCCTTATTCAATTGTGCCTTCAATTTAGCTATTTCTGATTTTCTTTAGCAACAATCAGCATATCATCAACATAATGGAGCAAATAAATAGCTGAGCCATTAACAATCTTCAAATAAACACAGCTATCATAATCAGACCGCTTAAAACCATGAGAGAGCATAAACGAGTCCAATCTTTTGTACCATTGCCTAGGAGATTGCTTCAAACCATAAAGAGACTTATTTAGTCTACAGACAAGGTTTCTTTTCTAGGAATAACAAAACCTTCAGGATGGTTCATATAAATGTCTTCTTCCAACTCTCCATGTAATAAGAATGTAGCTTTAACATCTAGTTGCTCAAGTTCACAATCATGCATGGCAACAATACTAAGCAAAGTGCGAATAGAACTATGCTTAACAACTATGGAAAAGACATCATTAAAATCAATACCTGGAATATGGCTATAACCTTTAGCAACCAAGCTTGCTTTATACCTTGCTGGTTCACTAGGAGAAATACCCTCCTTTCTTTTAAAAATCCATTTGCAACGGACAGGCTTTTTATTCTTGGGCAATTTCACTAAATCCCAAGTACCATTCTTTTCAAGTGACTCCATCTCATCTTGCATAGTGGCCATCCAATTGTTGCAATCAACAATAGTAATAGCCTCAGAATGATTAGAAGTTTCTGAATTACCTTCAATCTCTTCTGCAACACTCATAGCATAAGCAACATTGCATTCTTCAATTAACCTTTTAACTGGTTTGGGCTGCCTTCTGGCCCTACCAGCAGCAATAGAATGTTGTGGGGACTGCACAACTGGAGAAGAATGCTCAATAGTAGAAGAATCATCAACAATTGGAGAAATTTCAACAATGGGTGCATCTTGGGCAGCAACATTATCATTATCTGGTGCATCAATTAAGTGATCCACTTGCACACTTATTTTCTCTCCCTCAACAGGAGCATTAACAGATAGGTTGTCCTAAAACATAGCAGATTCATT